ACTAGATACCAGGGATGCATGAGGTTCAAGGTACTAACAGGTTTACTGGAAAAAATAATAAGTTGTTGCAACCCAAGTTAGCTCCAGACAGGAGAAATGCATAATAATAAGGGACAAGATAAAGACCAGAGAATGTGTTCACCTCAAAATTTTCTCCTGTGTTATAGGACTTATTTTCTTTAAAGTTTTTTTATTGTAAACATACTGTACAGAGGGGTTGCAGTTACGTAAGGTAATGAGTACATTTCCTATGGAGCATTGTTACCTCCTCCTCTATTTTCCCTTACTATCCCCCCCCCTCCCTTTTCCCTAACTCCTCCCTCTCCCTTCCCCGAAGTTGTAAATTTTTTTTTCAGAGTAGTGTCTTGTAGTCTCATTGTTACAATGGGTCAACTGTATCCTTGTTTCAGCATTTTATTATTTTATAGTACTTATTTTCTAATTGAGATTAAATAGAGTAATAATGGAAGTTTGCAGTTCTCCTTGGTTCCTGAGTTCAGAAGGAAAGTGTCAGTCCAAGACTTATTAAATGCAAAGGCAGATCAAAGCTTGGGTGCTATTTCCTGTAATGGTTGGTATTTGAACAGAAATTCTGAGATCCTGGAAAGGACTTGGGAGAACTGAGGTCTTCACTAAGTGGGGAATCCAAGCTAGGTGCTGTTACCAGAAGTCTAGTGAGAGATGTAGGGCGTCTGGTGTGTGGTGGTGGTGGTATGTGTGTGTGACTTTGCTTGGTTGATTGCTTGATTTTGCATTTATGACAGAAGATAGAAGATTAACATGGTAGTAATTTTACAGAAGAGAGGATATTCAATGTGAAATATAGTTGCTCAGATATTGAATGATCTGAACTGACTGAGACTGAGCAGCTCCAGAGAGGTACACAGCTGTAAGAACTAGAAGATGTTTTGCCTGAAATGAAGGTTGTTTGTGTTTGCAGAGTTAGAAAAGATTTTGGAGTCTCTAAGGAGATGAATTTATCCTGTGTTTGTTGCTAAGTTTTTATACTATACAAAGCCATCCAAAGTTGGCATGAAGGGAAATGAGGCCAGGTGCACTCCCTGTCCTATAACCTAGAAAATAATTTTGTTGGGATACAATGGCACAGACACAAACTAGGAAGGTTGAACCCACCTGAGGATTGTTGAATTCTTTTAAAGCAACAAGTGTCAGTTTCTAGGAAGAAGACTAGAAAGGTGGGGAGGGAGGGGAAAGATACATACATTCAGGACAGACTAATAATTCAAAAAGATCACATGGATATATGTGTTTATTCTTATTCTTATTGTGTCAAGGAATCTTTCCTCTGTCTGCCATACTATGTGACTATTTTATTCAACTCTCAGCCACACCATCTCCATAGAAATACTCAGAAAACACTGTAGTAAATAGAGAAATACATAGGAATAACAGATACTAAACTCTTCATTCAAATCATTTCCCCCAATCCGTGGAAAAAGCCAGAAGCATTTCCCTTCTTTGTGTTATTGCTGCAGATTTTGGTGGGGAAATGCTGAATTTTCAACCTCTCATCTGCCCTCCTATCTGCCCATTTCTGTCAGTCTTCTTGCTAAAACTCCAGCTCAAATGCTATTTCTTTCTGCAAAGTGTCCACTGCCCTCCTCCGGCACCATTCATTCCTATGGCACTGACTAGATATGTGAACATCTTATGCCTGCCTGAAATTAACTATTTCCTGCATGTAGATTATTCTCTTTTGTACATTTATAACATGCTCAAGAATAATAATCAGGCTGAATTTTCTCTTTCCAATCCATTACCCCCTCTTCCCTTGATGGACTGCTACATAGATGGACTCACTGGCCCCAGGATTTTTTTCTGTGTCCTGACTGCCTGAACATGCCTTGCAAGCTCACAGGCTTTGAGGACTTGTGAGTCAAGAAAGATCCATGTGTATCAGGACATGGAATGCCAAAAAAGCAGTGGTGTTAAAGTAAAAGAAGCCAGACTCTGAAAAATAAATATCACATATTTCTCTTAAATGTATAATTCAGAAAAAAAGACGAGAGCAAAATGGGCTATTAGGGAAGAGGAATGAGACCAACAGGAGGGATGAGGGAAGAGGCAATATTCATATATATATATATATGTGAAAATATATAATAATAAACCTAGTATTTTGTACAACTAATAAAAATTTGAGGATGTTAATATGATGAAAAGTATAATTATTCCTTGCTTTGCTGAATCTTGTACTAGGAATGTCATATGTAATGTTCACTTGTCCTGAGAAATCTAGGTGCTCCCAACCTTCTTTTGACAAAAGGCAGAAACTCTGTCTCAAAAAGGTTGAGGACTATTGTTAACAGGTTGGTGGAGGCCAACACTGCATCTTAGCAATCTTGGTTCTGCCTTTGCCTGCCAGATCTTCCCACATAAGATACCCATTTTCTTTGGGACACCAGATGAGGGTCCAGGACAGAGAAGGTGCTTTCTCAGTAACCAGTTGAAATATATTGCCAAATTTCCAGTGGAAACTGTTGCAAAGAGATGGAACTAGAGATAATGATTCCCAGTCTCTGATGCAGAATACAATGTTTATTTACTCCTTCAATATGTTTACTATGTGTCTCAGCTATGTGGGTTGCTAAACCAGATAGTTCATTTTTTCCTGTTTCATTCCTATTTTTGCTTTCTCTCTCTTTCTTTTCTTCCTTTCTTCTTCCTTTTCTTCCTACCACCTTCCCTCTCTCTCTCTTTCTGGCTTCCTTTCTTTTGAAAATCAGTTATCTATTAACTATATAATTTCTCCAAGCTTAGGTCTACATCCAGAAGGCTTATCTTCCATGCAGACAATCAGAGTCTAGTTATATTTTATGATTACCTATTCAGTATTCGCTTGTCAGCAGCCACCATCTCTCCATAAGTTTAGACACCCACAAAAGATTGAAAGATTCTCAGACCTCTCTGCCCCAACCCTTTCTTACTATGTGCCTGTGCTATGGCAAATAGACATACAGCAGGCAAAACAGGCAGGGAGACAGACAGATACAGATAGACAGGCACACACACACACACACACACACACACACACACACACACACACCACCCAATGCTGCAGAAGTTCTCTTGCCTCTTTCATGAATGCTTGGTGATCTTCCATGCATGGATAGTAATAATGATTATGATTAATGAATTTCTCCTTATACCCAATATGTAATTATTGGCATTATTGATGCTAGGTGACTCCTTTCCTGGATCCTCCTGGAGAAAGGGGACATAGTTACTGGCTTCTCCCACAGCCTTTGGGCAGTAGGGGGTGGCTAGGAATACAGGATTCGGGTTGTAACAAACACCAGGATTTCTCAGAATGACAGCTTACTGCATAGCAAAGGAGTCTTTTCTAGTCCTGGGTTTTCAGCAATTTGTCTTTCTGGTGGCTTTTCCAGACTCTCCTTGTCAAGCCTCAGTTTCTCTCCATGTAAATTAGTAGGAGAGAGGTAAGAGATGACAGGGAGAGGATATTAAGCATGAAAGAGGCAAGGTACGTTGTGTTTTGCCTAGTCCCCTCTAGGGACTCATCACCATTGTTCCGGTTAGGACTCAAATGCCCCTGGACTCCTGAAGCATGGAGCTTAAAATTCCCAAGGGAAAAGGCACTCTGGGGCTACCAGTCTCTTTCTCACTGCAATCCCTCCCTCCTCTCCCCATGTCTGAGCTCCATCTCCCTCTCTCTGCTGCTTCGGAGTCTGACAGCACTGACTTGCAGAAGCTTTCTAAATCCTAAACCCTCTTCAGGGACGCACCCAGCCTGCTCACTAACCTGCCATAATCCAGCTCTCAAAGTGGTACTTCTGGATTTCAGAGGAGAGTGCAGTGTCTCTGGAGGCCAGACGCAGAACTCCTGGATCACCACAGGCAGTTTGGAGGCTGGTGAAAGAGTGTCCTGGCTGAGCTCGGTCCGTTCCTGGAGACCCTTATTTGAGCTCCTAAACCCCCTAGAGAGTTCCCACCCGATTCTCCAACTGCCTCCTTGTCTCATTCTTGTAACCCCCGGGACTATGCAGGCCTTTTCTGGTGACCTCTTTCCCTGGACAGCTACCTAGGTTGCTGGACCAAGTGAGACATGGGACCATGGGTCCGTCTGTCCAGTTGGAACCATAGTCTTCGTATCCCCTTTTCAGTTCCCTGAAACACGGCTTCTAGCCGGTGTTTGGGGCGCTGGTGCAGAAAAGAAACGGAGAGTAAGGGAAAGGGGAGATGATTAAGGCAAATTATGGGGCTAGAAAAACCCTTAAGTCTAAGCTCTCAACTGCAGCAGGATAGAAAAGGGGGAGGCAAAAGAAGAGCGGCAAAGGTGGGGGGGCATGAGCTGTAAAGACTTTGCCAGCCCCTCCGGCGCGCCCCAGCCCGGATGGACTGGGCAGGGGGGGGGGTTGTTCAGCTTCGGCTTCTCATTGGTTCTCGCGCGGGCCCCTCGACTTTCTATAAAAGCTGACTGCAGAAAGCGCGGCGGGCACCGGCTCGGAGCGCTAGTGGCGGCGACCGGACTCCGCCCTGCCCACAGCGCCCCGCCGGTTTTGGACAGACAGACAGGCCTACAGACTGATTGAAGGCAACAGAATTTGAATCAGAAAGATCCGGGAGTGAGCAGAGGAGGAGCAGTGCCGGGGACGCCAGCCCCGGTCCCCTACTGGGGACGCGGGCTGCTTGCGCTCTCCAGGCAGCGGCGGGGACGAATTTTGGGAGCCAGCCGGGTTCGCCCGCCCTGCGCTCAGCTGCCTCGCGCAGCTCTCTAAGCGGGTTCCAGCCCTTCTTGCTGGTTCCGGGGGCTTCTTCCCCTTCCCCACCCCCAGACACCTGGGGGAACTCTCTCTCTCTCTCTCTCTCTCAGATCCCTTAAGGGTTTCTCTTCCCTTCTCCTTTCCCTGGAACCTCCTTGTCCCAGTCGCTTAAGGACCTCAGGGTCCACAAAAAGCGTCAAGCTGGACGCCCCGACCACGGAATCGCCCCTAGGGGCTTTCCCAAATCCTGGCACCATGAGCTATGGGGATGAGCTGACTCCCGAAGCTCTGAGCGTGCCCAGCGGCTTTGATGACCTGATCACCTCCACCACTTCCCAGGTGCTGCAGGCCATGTCTAATGCCGCTTCTGCCGTGGGCCATGCTGGCAATGGCAAGCTCTCCATGACAGATAAGCTGCCAGGCCAAGCACCCAATACGGGTGACCTGGCTGACACATCGGGTCCCATCAGTTCGGAAGTAGTGTCCCAGGACGAGAGCGTGCAGTTCTGGCTAGTGATAGGGTACACCATAGTGGTCTTTGCTGCCATCATAGGCAACTGGGTCTTAAACCACGTAATTATGAAGTACAAGAGGGTGCACACGGCAACTGGCCTCTTTGTCGTCAACATTTCTGTGACCAACATGATGCTGGCTCTTCTCAGCTCTCCCTTCACTATGGTAAGCAGGGTGTTGAGGAGGGTGGCCATGGGGAGCTGGGGAGTAGCTAAGGCATAACTTTGCTCTTTGGGGGAAGGGAGGGAGCCTTGGAGTAGGTTGGTTTGGTTTGGAGAATATTCGCCGTTTTCCTGGAGACACATTGGCTGAAAGCCATTGAAATGGGTTTGGAAATATGGGGGTAGGAGAGGTAGAGACAAATGGAAACTGGCAAGACTGTTGTTACTGAGCTCATCTTCCATCTTGGCAGAGGCTGGGAGAAACTAAGCTTGTTCCTCCTCCCCAGAGAGGCAGTGGGGACTTGTTGCAAGTGAGCTTTGGGTTGTCTTGTGAGTTTGCATTGAGTCACAAAGAGCCAGTCTTAGTTTCCCCAAATATAGGGCTTGGACTACAAGGTAAATGATTGATAGCTTTTGTGATATGGTATCCTCTGGCACCTTCAAGTTGGACCATGGGAAAAGCATGAAAATTGTGGTGTGAAAATGTTTCTTTGCTTCTGAAGACAATCATGCCAGCAGTTTGGTGAAACAAGAAGGCTTTGATTTATATTTTGGGGCTTTGTGAGGGGGTGAGACTAGCCTTGAGTCCTTGAGCCTTTCAGAGCCTTGTCTCCCACAGGTGCGCTATCTGTGTAATTCCTTGGTGTTTGGGAAGATGACATGTCACCTCAGTCGCTTTGCCCAGTACTCTTGTGCCTATGTTACTGTGATGACCATGGCTGCTATTTCTCTGGATCGACACCGGGTATGTGCTTCCCAGGTCTTGTGAAGGGATATATTCTCCTCTTAGGTAGACAGACACAGGTGAGATTACAAACAATCCAGAAAGTTCTTTTAGTTTCTTGAGACAATATATGTAAATATATATGTCTAGTTTAGGGGAATTGCAAAATGGTGAAATGCAGACCTTTCCCAAGTCAAATTTTACATAAGACAAATCTACCATTTTGATTTGGTTCTATGGGAAATAGAGATGTGGCAAATGGACACATGATCAAAGAATGTTCTCATGGAAAACAGTTTCTATTTACTGCATTGCGGGTCTAGCCTGGGGTGGAGGGGAAGATGGGATGAGTCAGAAGTGGGTGTGCCTTCAGATTGAATGGTGGATTGGGTCTGGGAGATGGGGGAAAGGGAAGGTGGAGGAATTTAGGAAGAAGAGACTTGAGGACAGAGCTGGGAGGAGGATTGGCAGTGATTTAAGCGGAAGTTGGGCGGGGGAGGATGAGAAAATGGGAGGGGTTACACAGTCAATCATTTGTGAGGGAGCTAGAAAGTGGGTGGGGTAGCATTGAAGGGTTTGTGTCTGGAGCTTTTTCGGAGGAAGCCATAGTAGGATCTAGATGATAGGAGGCAGATAGAAGGAGAGATGAAGGAAGGAGGGGCTATAGAGGAATCAAGGTGGGAGGGTATAGAAGGAGAAGGGAAAGAGCTTGAAAGGAGCTAGGTAGGTGGGAGGGATGAAGGAATATGCAGAGTGCTTATCCATTCATATGTGACAAAGGAAATATAAAGCACCCTTTTAGGTATACATCACTTCAACATGAAACTTTTCACTCAGAGTCAGAAGCTTTAAAACCAGTCCACTCATAATTACCTAATGTTGCTCTTTGGTAAAATAAAATCTTGCATTAACTACTAAGTGTCAAAGCACCTTACCTTCCTACCTATCAAGTCTTTGCACCTATGAACCAGAATGTCAGTTGATGAATGGCCAATAAGTAACCCTAATTTGAATTATTGAATTGGGTGGGGGTCCTTTTCATTTCAGGTTATGCTTTACCCTCTGAAGTCCCGGATTACTCCCATGCAAGGCAATGTTTGCATCATTGTCATCTGGATTGTGAGCACCTGTGCTGCTTTGCCACATGCTGTTTACCAGAAGCTTTACCAAGTGGAATTTGGGTAAGAGGATCACAAAATGGTTACTGTTCAGATGACCTTGAAAGCCATAGGGAACTATTCATCAAATAGATGCTTGACTAGGACATTTTAAGATGTGGCTACAAAAATAAATTTTCTAAAGTGGTATTTATTATTATAGTTCCTAACAACTCATCCAGTGAGTTATTAGACATATACTTTCTTGTTTATGGCCATTATTTTTCCTACATTATACATGAGAAGTCTGGATAAGGTGAATTCCAGAACTCCTTGCTTTATAACTCTAGGCTTTACACTAAATAGAGATACAAACGGTAAATATGTTTATTCCTTAAGGCTTATTATTGTAGCAGTTCGCTACAAAGCCTTAAGGAAAAGGCAAATGAAGCTGATGGCTTCCTTTCTCTGTTTTATAACCTAGAAACATAACTGAGGAAACTGCCTGCCTTCCCAGTTTCCCATACACTTCAGAATCCACATGGAAGTACCTTGACCTGGGCACCTTTTTGATTTTCTTCATTTTGCCATTGCTGGTGCTGGTGGTTGTGTATGGTCATGTGGCCAAGAAGCTGTGGATCCATAATGCTGTTGATGATATCAATATTCACACCTACATCTGCCAGCGAGGAAAGAAGAAGCAGACCCTGAAGATGCTGATGACGGTGGTGCTTGTCTACACCATCAGTTGGCTCCCACTCAACCTCTACCTGGTGCTGCTGTCTAGTGAATCCATCTCAAGCAATAATGGTCTCTACTTTTTTCTCCACTGGCTAGCAATTAGCAGCTCCTGCTACAACCCCTACATCTACTGCTGGCTCAGTGATAGCTTCCGGATTGAAGTTCAGAAGGTCATCATGGAAATCCAGAAGATGATCCTAGATGGAATCAGCCGCCTGAGGGGAGAGCACCGCCGACTGAGCTCTGTCTCACCCACCCAACGTCCTGCCTGGGTGGACCCCAATCCTGGAGTGCCCAAGTTCCCACGATTCAAAGATTTTGATGAGATACCCAGCCCCCCTCCTTCCCCACGGGTGGAAATCTCTTTCCTCTACCCATCAGTGCCTAGAGTTTAAGCTGCCCAGACCGCGATAGGTTATCCATCCTCAAAATACTTGATATAGGATGGGACCAAAATAACTGATTCATTTCTCATGAGCGAGTGAGAGAGAGGGGGAGGGAGAGGAGGGAGGGAGGGAGGGAGAGAGAATGTGTGTGTAGAAAAGTCAGTACTTGAGGGATGGGAGCCATATGAACCATCATATGTCTCACTTTTTCATTTTCTTCTTTATGCCTTTTTCCTCTTCCCTTTCCTATTTTTTTCCTCTGCTACTCAAAGAAAGATGCTCCTCTCCAAAATGAAGACATGCACAACTTAGCACTTCAAAATAAAATTTATGAAAATCTTCTTCTCTGACTCTACTTTTACTATCATACTGGTTTCATGTTAATATGTGCTCTCCAGTTTACCCCCTTTTTATAAAAAATAGAGAAAGCATAATGTGCTCACTGTTGTTTTAATTGTTCTCATCTCTTTAGACTATGGAAATGTCAACTCAGCAAGAGAGATGAGAAGGAAGAAATAGCCCATCCTTCTGCCACTGCCTTTATTGGGGAAACAGTGTTGTTAAGGCCTTTTTATGGTATTGGTGGTTGTATGTGTATGGATAACAAGACAAGAATGAAACATGATATCCTCCTTTTTTTTCTTCATACTCTTCTTCACTACACTGGACATTCTCTTTTTATCTGCTCTCCCTGTCTTTCTCTCCTTCCATTTCCCCACCTTTCTTCTCCACTATCTTTCTTAATCATTATTTTGTTATCATTGACATATTATTCGGTATCCTGTAGAGAGGTGAGCCAGTCTCTAGGAGCCCAGAGCAGATTAACTGGTGTGTAGCTTTGGGCTAGTCACATCTCCACTTGATTATTTTGATAAAGAAGCCCAACTGCTGATAAATTCCCACATTTGCAGCAGTGTTGTCTCCCTTTTCAGATTGAGGAGAAATTAGAGGAACATAGCTCATTATAGCTTAAACACTCTTGCTTTCCATTTTCACATTTGTGTATTCATTCTTCATGCCTTCTCCATTCTTACTCTCAGCACCCTAACTAAAAATATCATTGACCTTTATCACTCAAGTACAAGGCTAGTTATTTGAAGAGGCCTTAGGTTGAATGGATGGTCACATCAGCTGCTGTAACTACATCATCTGTACATCTATAGTCTCCTTTTGGCTTCAGCTGTTTTTGAGATGAGTAGTGTTTGTGAGTGGTGAGCTCTGCTAGTTTCTTTTCCTCCCTGCCATGTAAATGTTTCTCATTCTCCTAAGAACAGAGATATTTCCTTCTCATTTTGACAGGATGGATACACCCCAGGAGAATGGCTTGACTAGCTTTAGGCCTTCCTACAAGGAGAGGGCAGAGTGGAATTGCCTCTGGGTACCCAGTGCTTCTTGGAGGAATCATATCTTGCTCTGATATCCTCCTTCTCCTGTTTTGACTTAGGAGAAATTGGGATAAAAGGGCTATCATTGTAATTTAAATGATTATTGTGCTATTGTATTTTCACCTAATGTTCTCTCTTTCCCAGGAGAGTCCCTCCCTACTCCTATCCTTGTTCTCTGCAAAGAAAGACTCTTTTCACCCTCAGTAATGCTGGGAATCTGGAACTGTTCCATGCTTGACAGATATTCCAGCTTCAACATTTGCTGTGGACTTGGCTGGAAACTCCACATTCACAGAACTTTGAGAGCTTTGGTGATGTATGGGATGTTTGAAGAATTGGGAATCTGAATATTCTTGAGTTTCATGTGATTTATTTGCAGCAGCAACTAATTGGAATTCAGCACCCAGCCATGTCTGAGGGTGCTACCATTGTAAGTAGTTTGGCTGGGGGGCTCATTTGGTTGAAACATGGTGCTAATGAGCTCTAGGTCCTAGGCTCTAACCCATGTGCAGCCATTTAGCTCTGTGGGTTCGAGCATGGTGCTAAAGAACTATGGTCACATGGTGTCCGTTTACACAGACTGCACCACTCACCCTAGCCAGCCTTTTTCTGAACAAGGGTTATCAGCCACTTGGAAGACCCAGCAAAACTGTTGTGTAAATAGTCCTGCAAAACCCATTTCCACTTCTGGAGAAACAGCTTACAGTGTTTTCCCTACTGATTGTGTGTAAGTAGTGTCACTTTCTTATTAGAAAGAAATCACTTTTTTCAAATGTATATATGAATAAATAGAGAGGCAGCAATGGCAGACAGCAGTTGTCAAACAGCAATTTTACAAATCTAAACGCATATACCAACATGTGTCTGCAGATTCTTTCTTAGATATTTTGAGCTGAAGGCTCAAAAATGCCCTTCCATCTTATAGTGTGTGCTATCATACACAATCCCAGACACATGCATACACACACACACACACACACACACACACACACACATACACACACACTCGCCCATGGCAAAATACATGGGCACCCACACACATATTAAAGCATACATAAACATACATGCAAAATGTACATACAGAGAGAATTTTCTGTATTGGTTATGTTTACTTCTTAATAGGTTTGCAGCTTAATAGTTATTTTTGCAGCAGAATACACCTTACTATTGATCAAGGCCTTCCTAGAAGTATGAGTACAAAACCAGACCATCCACTTGCTAATTGTCATTGCTGAAAGCTGTCTATGTCATCTTGGATTATGAGGCATAGTCTCATTGATGGAAACTCTGTCCTCTGGGCCATATGTGGAAGGAGAATAGATGGACTCAGGATGGGCAGTATAAGGAAAATGAAACTGTGTATCCTGATAACTCTTGTTCACTGATTTTTATGTGTCTGTTTCAAACTCCTTTCCTCGTAATAGTGATGATAACTGTATAATTCTCAAAGTTAAGATCTTTTGGTGTTTTTGTAGAGTGCTTGTTGTTAATGTTTTACCCCCTGTTGAAAAACAACACTGTTTTGGGGTCAGCTTTGTATTGTAGATTGTACTTTCAAAGATGCTGTTCAATAGGAATATTTTCTCCAGATGCAAAGCATTGGATCAAATTCTTTTGTCCAACAACTTCTAGGGTAGCCAAAATTTAGCTTGATGCTAAAGGAAAGAATAGTTTCATCTGGTAACTCAAGGTGAGCATGGAGAAATCAGTGTAGAGATTGGTTGGTAAAAGTTTTCTGGCATAATATATTCAGAACCCAAAAGAAAATACCCATGTATATTTTATGTACATAGATTTATGTTATTAAGACTAGTTTAAAGGTAATATCAGAATTTATAACTAAAGAATGAATGCCACTATTCTTTTGTGATAAGATCTTACTAGAAATAGTTCCCACCAGTTTATTTTTATGAGAAGAACTTGGAAGCAACCTGATAGACAGAGATATAGATTCAGCTTACTCTTGAGTGTTTTCTGTTCTTTTCAGAACAGTGATCTGAAAATGGAAGAAAGTCTTAAGTGAGACTTGGGAAACTGAGCATTCTACTTGTAGCTTTAGACAAGAGGCTGTTTGTCAATGTCTTTGTACCTACAGCTTGGTAGACTAGACAGTGTAGTGTAAAAATATCCTTCAATAAAATAAAATTTAAGTGGAAAAAATTAAAAATTACAAAAAAACAAAGAAAATAAATGAGCCCTTAGTTCTTATAGTTAGTGAAGTTTAGTTAGTGAAGTTTCTTACTCCAACACCTAACAGCCTGAGAGTGTTCCCTGCTCCTCTACCACATGATGGCACTGAACTTAGTGACACTGATACCTTAGTGACTTTCAGCTTTTACCACTGCTATGTACTTGTTTAACCTTTGTGGAATTATGAAAAGTATCCTAGACATATGTGCATAAGTACATCACACACTAGCTACAGTGTTAAAACTTAGTGGTGATGTGAAATGTGGAACTGAAGATTCCTGGGGATAAAGACTGCAAAATTGCCAGATTCTCTGGATGCAAACTGAAGCTGTTGGTGTCTAAATGACAAAGGATATATGGACCCGTGGAGATACTGATGGATTGCATTGGGACATCCTGACAAAGTGGAATGAGAAAAGTCTCACCAAGTTACAACAGGAGAATGGACATTATTTTTGGTTCCCAGAAGGGATGTGTGTTACTTATTTACTTGTTATTATTGCTTTAAACACCAGTGTCCCTATTCCTCCTTACTCTATTTAATGTTTGATTGTGGATTCAGATTAAGGGGATAATGTTAGGGGGTGGGGGAATGGGAAGTAAGAGTAGATTAAATATATATGTACACGTATACTAAATAAAAATATTTGTTCAAAGCACTTCCAAGTTCTCTACATTTTAGTGCATCTGTAGAGAAGGGAAAGGGTGGGGATAGAGCTTAACTCACTTGGGATTTCTGGTACACACTGGCTGTCATAAGTTAAAACTTCTCATGTATCTCATACATGGACTTTGAAGTAGATGTTGTTGGGAATGGAGGCATAATGTGAAAACAAATCCTATGATCTGTACTTTGGAAACTTATCCATTTGAGCAAAGGAACCTGGTCCATAAAATCACTGGAGACTCATTTTGTACATTTTGGTTTCATAGCTAGGAAAGCATTTTGGTGCTTTAGTGGGGAGGAATGAAAAAAGGGACAGAGTTTCTGACTAGATGGCCAGACTACCCCAAACAGAGAAGGTACCTTACTCCATAAAATAAAATAATAGTGTTAAGGAGCTCTGGCCCTTTAATACTTGGTAGCTTTTGGAAGGACAGTATTTCTCAGAGGTGTTAAAAGTGAATAATTTATAAAGGGATTGCATTAGATCCCCAAAGCATAAACAGAGGTTAACAAATTCTCACCCTCAGTGTTATATTTTCCAGCTTCACTCCACTCTATTCGCAGGACTACAAATTCTGTTTTTTCCTATGCAATAATTGAGGAAATTGCCATCAAATCCAAGACTTGTTCCATAGTAAAACACCCAAGGAAAGCTATTTATGAAGAAAAGATATCTATTTTACTTCACAGCTTTAGAGACTGAAAGTTCAAAGAATATATGATGCAAGCTCTAATCCCACTGTAGAGGGTAGATAGTGAAGTATTTCTAAAGGAAGGATCACATCTCAAACT